AGCTGACATATCCTGACCCACTCTCTTCTGCCCTCAGCAGTGTATTCCAGTACGTCTGCCTGTTTTGCTCCCCACTGTGTCTCTGGTGAATCCTCTCACCCCGCACAGAGTGGGGAGCAGAACAGGCAGATTCACTGAAATACACTGCTGAGGAGAGCAGCAGGTGAGACAGGAAAAGTCTGCTGGGCCATGTAGGTCAGTTCCCTGCCCAGGGATTGAATTCATACGGCAGTGGCTGGCGATAGCTGGATAGGGCTGATATTTTAGCGCCTGCACCACCAGGGAAACCCAACCTCCCTCTTCTTAAGGCCAGGTGGGTGCATTCTGTTTTCACTGGTGTGATCACTTGATTGCTATCATTGTCCACTTCTTTGGCCTATAGGATGTTATAGCACATGTAGAAGTCCTTACTAATCTCACCCAGCAAGCCTTAAATGATAGCTGATAGAGCCTATCCTTATTCAACCCTGAAACATCTCTAACAACAAAACTGTCCTTCAAAATAGGATGGACTTGGGCATTATCACTGCCTTGCAAGGAAGCACTGTGCCTTTACCCAAACAGAATGTTGTGTGTTCATACCGGATAAGTCTGCCACTGGGTACCTTTATTAACTCACACGAGGACACAAGTGAACACCCTGTGTGATCTGACCTCCAACCTAGTGGACTTAACAAATCAGTACTTGAGATCATAGGGCTTTTGGTAGGAAAAGTGGATAATTTTAGGAATTATTGTCTTAAGTTGTGTTTCCATTGCATGTGCCTACATTGTTGCTATGGCATCTGCTCCAGTGCAGCAGGAAAGCCACAAACGTAGCCATTTCTATGCTGATGAAACTCTGTACTAACCATTCAGGGTACATGACAGAAGATGTGGCATGTGATCTTATAAGACTTGGTCAGGAGGAAAAGAGTTCTGGAGGTCTTGAGTGGGGGGTGACTGACAGTTGACCCGAGAGCTGGATTAGGCACCTGGAGGCTCCTCATCCTCTCCCCTGTCCTTGGAATGCACAGTCCGCCCACAATTCTACAGTGGAGCCATTTTCAAAAATGTAGACTTTGAGAGAGTAGGACACTGAATCTTGATAAGGTGTCTATATAAACTCTTAAGATTCTGGCAGGCAGGTGCGGAAATCTATTGTTCTTGCAGCTGCTGAGGATAAGCCTCATATGTAAGTTCCTTTTCCTATTGAAACTGCCCCCTGCCAGTCTGGAGTGGCCTCTTTGGTCTTTGTTGCTTCCTATTAACTAAGGTCCACTTTCAAGCTTTGCTCAGGGAACTTCTTTTTTTTTTAATATTAAAATAATTATCATCAGGCCCTCCCTGGTGGCGCAGCGGGTTAAAGCACTGCACTAAGAAACTAAAGCCACTTCCGCATGAGTTCGATTCCCGCCTGCCCCGGAGGCAACCACATGGCGTGGCAGACCTCTCCTGACCCCCCGCTGCTCCCCTCAGCAGTATACTTCGTCAATCTGCCTGTTCTGCTCCCCACTCTGTCTCTGGTGAATCCTCTCACCCTCCGCATCTCTGGCCTGTACCCCAGTTCTGTATGAATAAATAAATAAATCTTAAAAAAAAAAAATTATCATCATCCTATTTTGACTTTTCAACTTTTAGAGTTTCTATAAGGGTCAATTTCTTTTTACTATTGTATTTTAAATTTTTTTATATCATTCTTCATTTTGTGCATTTTTTCATCTCAGTTGTAATCCCCAGGGGCTTCCCACCACCAATTTACCCGTGTGCCATCACCACAGTCCAGTGCACTCTTCCCACCCCAGTTCCAATCCCATTCCTCCTTCCACCCCCATAAAATGTCTCTGGTTAATAGTTGTTCATTGTTTTCATTTTTACTCTATTATATTTGTTTCTCCCCCCCCCACCCCAATCCCTCATACTCCTGCTATAAGTGAAACCATCCAGTATTTTTCTTTTTCTTTCTGGCTTATTTCACTAAGCATGATCTTTCCAGCTCCATCCATGTTGCTGCAAAAGGCATGAGTTTATCTTTTTTGATCACTGAGTAATATTACATTGTATATATGTACCACATCTTTTTAATCCGGTCATCTATTTTTGGGCATTTGGGTTGATTCCATGTCTTTCCTATTGTAAATAGAACAGCAATAAATATGCAGGTGTCCTTTTGAATCAATGTTTTTGTGTCCTCTGGGTATATACCTAGGAATGGGATTGCTGGGTCATATGGAAGCTCTATTTTTAGCCTTTTGAGAAACCTCCAATCAGCTTTCCATAGTGGTTGTACTAGTTTGCATTCCTGCCAGCAGTGCAGGAGAGTTCCTTTTTCTCCACATTCTCGCCAACATTTGTTGTTGCTAGTTGTTGAAGATATGCCATTCTCACTGGGGTGAGGTGGCATCTCATTGTGGTTTAATTTGCATCTCCCTTATTACAAGTGAACATTTTTTCATATGCCTGCTGGCCACATGCATTTCCTCTTTGGAGAAGTGTCTTTGCACATTTTTTGATGGGGTTGTTCACTTTATTTTTGTTGAGTTTAATCAGCTCTTTGTGTACCTTTGTGGTCAGTCCATTGTCATTAGTATTGTGTGCAAATATTTTCTCCCATTCAGTGGAGTGTCTCTTTGTTTTGTTTAGTTTAGTGTCTCCCTTGCTGTACAGAAACTCTTTAACTTGAGATAGTCCCAAATGTTTATCCTTTCATTTACTAGCCTTGCTTTGGGTGATGTATCTTTTTTTTTTGGGGGGGGGGTGATGTATCTTTAAAGATATTATTGAAGTGTATGTCACACAGAGTTTTGCCTACCTTTTCTTCTAGGTATTTTGTGGTTTCGTGTCTTATGTCTAGTTCTTTAATCCATTTCAAGTTGTTTTTTGTGCATGATGCGAGGGAGTTGTCAAGCTTCATTTTATTTTTTATTTTTTTTAAAGAATTATTTATTTATACATACAGAACTGGGGTATAAGCCAGAGGTGCAGGGTGGTGAGAGGATTCACCAGAGACAGAGGGGGAGCAGAACAGGCAGATCAATGAAGTACACTGCTGAAGGGAGCAGTGGGTGGGTCAGGAGAGGTCTGCCATGCCATGTGGATCACCTCCGGGGCAGGCGGGGATCGAACTCATGCTGCAGTGGCTTTAGCTTCTTAGTGCTGTGCTTTAACCTGCTGGGAGGGTCCCAAGCTTCATTTTTTTTTTTTTTAAATATAGCAGTCCAGTTTTCCCAGCACCATTTGCTGAACAAACTTTCTTTGCATATACTTTGCTCCTTTGTAAAAAGTTAGCTGTTCACAAACTTATGGGTTTATATCTGGGCTTTCTATTTGAATCCATTGGTCTGTATGTTTGTTCTTGTTCCAGTACTATGCCGTTTTGATTATTATGGCTGGGATTGTGATGCTTCCAGTCTCTTCCATTTTACTCAGGAGAGTTTTGGCTACTCAAGGTTTTTTGTGGTTCCATACAAATCTCATCAATACTTGTTCTATTTCTTTGAAGAATGACATTGAAATTTTTATTGGAATAGTGTTAAATCTATATAGTATATTATATATATATAGTATATTGCTTTTGGTAGGATGGCCATTTTAATGATGTTAATTCTTCCAGTTCATGAGCAGGGAATGTCTTTCCATTTCCTTGTGTCTTCTTGTATTTCTTTTATCAGGGTTTTACAGTTTTGTCTAGGTCCTTCACCTCTTTTGTTAGGTTTATTCCCAAGTAATTGATTTTTTTGGGGTTTCTATTATGAAAGGGATGGGTTTTTTTTTTTTTTAATTTCCTGCTTCTTCTGATTGGTCGTGTACAGGAAGGTTACTGACTTTTGTGTGTTGATTTTAGAATCTGCAACCTTGCTAAACTGGTTAATTATTTTGATTAGTTTTTCTATGGAGTTCTTAGGGTTTTCCATGTATATTATCATATTGTTTGCAAATAAAGATAGTTATAGTTCTTTCCCTATTTGGATTCCTTGATGTCTTTTTCCTGCCTTATTGCTCTGGCTGGGACTTCCAATGTTATGTTGAAGAGCAGTGGTGATAGTGGACATCCTTGTCTTGTTTCTGATCTCAAAGGAAAGGCTTTCAGCTTTTCTCCATTGAAGATAATATTGGCTGTGCATTTGTCATATATGGCTTTTATCATGTTGAGGTATGTTCCTTCTGTTCCAATGATTTTGAGGGCCTTAAACAAAAATGGATGTTGAACTTTGTCAAATGCCTTCTCTGCATCTATTGATATAATTATAATTATATGAGGTTTTTTTTTTTTTTTTGTCTGTTGATGTGATGCATTATGTTAGTTGATTTTCAGATATTGAACATTCCTTGTGTCCCCACTCAGGGAACTTCTAAAGTCAGAAACCTGCATTCCTAACCAGGTACCTCAAGGGGAACCTATCGTTCTCACTTCTCTCATTATTAGGTCAATTTTCCCAAAGGCATTATTTCCATGGTCAGTGACATTTGAATGTAATACAGTTTTTATGTCAGTATTCTTTTTCTTTTGATTCTTTCCCAATCATTTACGAATACAAAACTCATTCTTAGCTCAGAGGTGGTCCAAAAACATGCAATAAATACATCCAAATTATTGTAGAAAATTAGAAAATATAGAGGACTAGATACTATTCTGTTCCCCAATTAGTCATATTCCCCTCAAGGGCGTAAAAGCATGTTACTATACTAAATGCTGTGATTACACATTTTAAAAAACGTTGCATCTGTAGTCCTCAACATCTACTCAAGACGTCATGACTCGGAGTGGTCGTATTTTCCGCTGCACAAAGCGATTTTACTTTGGGTTGCCTTCACGGGACTAGAATTGCGAGTTTTTTCACATTTCTTCCCTAAATTTTTCAGGAACACTGGCTGGTGCCTGGAAGAGCGACTGACAGCGCAAGGAATTCTGGGGGACGTAGTTCTCATTTGCAGCCCGCAAGACCCCTTGAGCTGTGCAGAAGACTTCCGGGGGAAGTTCCTGAGTGTGAGAGGGATACAAGACAATTTTCCGCAAACGTCGCTCGCGGACGCAGCTGGGTTACCCATAAAGGGCGTAGCTCTTCGTCCATACAAGATTGGAGGACAGCTTTCCGGGCATGCGCATATGGTTTTTCCGGGGCTCTCCCCCCCCGCCTTCGCAAAGCTGCCTGGGAGTTGTAGTTCAAATTACTGCTGGAATTCGGCAGTCGATCGTCAACTCCGAGGTCCGAGGCTGCCCACTGCCTTCGGCACTTGGCTCAGAAGATGGATCCCGGACCCGGGTCCGATGCAGTCCCGTTGGCTAGCCTGATGTGGTCGTCGGCCTCGGCGCCCCCGCCCAGGGGATTCAGTGCGGTGAGAGACGTTGCGGGAAGGCGGGTTGAATCCGGGCAGAGGCGGCGGTGGCCGGGTCTGGAACCTGGCGCTGACCTGCGTCCGCACCCTAGATCTCTTGCACGGTGGAGGGGACTCCAGCCAGCTTCGGCAAGAGCTTCGCGCAGAAATCTGGCTACTTCTTGTGCTTCAATCTATTGAGCAGCCTAGAGGTAAGGGGCACCCGCCTTGGGGTCTTCGAAGTTCCCTTATTTCCCCCCTGTCCATTCGTGGGGTCCTGTGCCAGGTGCTCCCTCTCAGCTGCTGGGCGACTCTTGGTGTTCCCCTCCAGAACCCACAGGAGAACGTGGTGACCGATATCCAGGTCCTGTTGGACAAGAGCCCCCTCCCTCCTGGCTTCTCCCCGGTCTGCGACCCCCTGGACTCCAGTGAGGCCGGTGGTGAAGGCGTGGGGTGGGGTGGAGGGGCGCGATCCCTGCCCTGCGCAGAGGATGGGGTGGGGGTGGGGTCGTGGAGGGACAACAGTTTCGCGATTTCTGATCCTCTCCGCCTCCTTGTTGCTCTGAGTGATGACAGGGTTGGCCGAGGACTCTGAGCTGGCATGCCCTGCCCTTCATAAAAATGTGCCATTGGCACAGTCTCTGTCCTAGAGTAAGAATCCAGTCTACGCGACCTGTTTCATTATTGTTGCTGCTATGCCTTCTCCCTGCATCGTAGCCAAGCTGAACCACGCGCAGTTTTCGCTTTCATTTCCAAGCTTTTGCACACACCGATACCTCTGCCTGGAGCACCCTTCCTTGAATCTTCGGGTTAGCTAATACTCCATTTTCCCCATAATTCCTCTCTGGCTCCCTGAACCCTGGTGCTGTCCCACCCTCCAGCACTGACTGCTCTGCTTTCTAATCATCTGGTCCCCAGCCTCCCACTGTGTTTTTGTCTTTTATATTTGACTCTCATGGCCACCCCAAGAAATGCTCTGTGTCACCAAAGACAAGCCTGTCCCAATAGCTCCTAAAAGTTGCATGGAGTACCCTCCCATGGCTACACCATCAGTGATTTAACCCTAAGTCCATCCAGGTGGCTGCCTTAAATGGTGCCCTGGTGCGCACCATCTCAGAGAGCCACCTTTGGGACCCTCCCCTCGTTTTTCCTTCCTCACTCCTCTGCCCTTCACTCCCAGAGGCCTCTGTGTCCAAGAAGAAACGCATGTGTATGAAGCTGGTACCCCTGGGGGCCGCAGATGTGGCTGTGTTTGAAATCCGGCTTAGTGGGAAAACCAAGACAGTGCCTGGATACCTTCGAGTAGGGTAGGACTGACCTCCCTGCCCAGCCTTTGGCTTTTTTCCTTGTCCTCCCAACTCCTGTATCACCCTTCTAGCTCTCAGGGACTCATCTGAATCTTCCCATCCTTCTACCACTTCTTCACCTTTTTCCACATGTTAAAATGGGGACATTTGTATTAATCTCATAGAGTTGTTGTGAGCAATCAATCTCAAATCCATAGCACAATGATCACACCAAACAGCATTTGTGTTACTTAAGCTAAGATGCCGAAAGGGAATTCCCCCAAAGGGCAGCAGAACCAAGAGACCCAGATTCTTCCTCTCCTCCCTTGGCAGCCATTCCCAGCCCTGGTTGCATGAACTCCTCCCTTGACCCTCCCCCCTTCAGGGACATAGGAGGCTTTGCCATCTGGTGCAAGAAGGCCAAGGCTCCGAAGCCGGTACCCAAACCCCGAGCTCTTACCAGGGATATGCGGGGCCTGTCCCTGGACCCACCCGACCAGCCTAGGTGAGTCTTTGGCTTTGGAGGGTGAGAGCAGCCCAGAGGGGCATCAGACCTGATTGGTGTGTCCCCCTTTCCCCAGCAAGGGCAGCTTCCCAGAGCGGACTCTGTCAAGGCTGAGCTCTAGGGCTTCCACCCTGCGGAGGAGCGACTCTATCTACGATGCCTCCAACCTTTATGGCATCTCAGGTAAGCAAATTAGGAAATAGAGATACAGGGGTGGGAGTGACCGGATCAAGACTATGCAGATGGGGTCTTACAGTGGTTGAATTTAAGATGTTTCAACTTGGAATTTTAAAGTTTGATCTTTTCCCAGTCTAGAATTGTGCGGTACAGTCCTCTCTTGTGATGTTGGGCACTGATAGTGAGCACAGCTCCTAGTCAGCCCTGAGATCGTGAAGGGAAACAATCCACACTGCATTGTACCATGCTCAATCAATTACATGAGCTGTTTCCCACGCCAGTATAAAACAGGCATTGTGTTAGATGATTTTGCCCAAGTTGAGGTGACTGTCAGTGTTCTGAGCAGGTTTCAGCGTGGTTAGGCTGAACTATGATGTCTATAGCGAGATGTAGTACTACTGGGAAGTAACCTCATCGTGAGTCCAGGAAGGTGGCGGGGTGGGGTGGAGGCAGGTTAGACCAGGCCTGGCCCCACCAACTTGTGTAAAGACCGGTGAGAGCTGGGGCCTGAGGCATGCGCACGCAGGACCCAACGCTCTCCTCAGCCCCTCTCTTCTGTGCTCTCCTCAGCCATGGATGGAGTTCCCTTCACACTGCATCCCCGATTCGAGGGCAAGAACTGCAACCCCCTGGTGAGCCTGGGCCACTTCTCATGGCCATTTTATGTGCCAAGGCGCCCCGAGTGCCATAGGCATTCCCACTATGGAGGCCCATGTTCCTGAGGTGGGAGAGGCAGGAGGCTGAGGGTGGGGACTGGAGCGTTAGGCATAGCAGGATGCTAGTAGCATAGCAGGAGGCTGTAGCAGGTGGGCGGGAGTGCTCAGGCAATATTGAGGGGGGCCCTCCTTGAAGATAGGGGAGTGAGGGTTCCAGGTTGGGGCTCCAGCACATGACTGACCTGCCCTGCCTACCAGACCTTCTCTGCCTTTGCGGATCTGACCATCAAGTCACTGGCGGACATTGAGGAAGAGGTAGGTACAGGGATGGGGTGGTGGTACCCCAAACACACCCCAGCTCTCCAGGACTGGAGATTGCTTGCCCCAAGTATCCTCTACTCCCCAGCATTCCTGGCTCTGCACAGCCCTTCTTTCACTCTGCTCTTTCCTTCCCAGTACAACTATGGCTTCGTGGTGGAGAAGACTGCGGCTGCACGCCTGCCCCCCAGCGTCTCGTAGCCCCTCAGCCTTGGGCCCTAGGGAAGAGTGCCTGCCCAGCACCGCAAGCCTGGCAGCTGCCCTACTCCATCCCATTTGGGGAGCTTTGGCAGCACTGGGCATTCCGGACCGAGGCCACCCACCACGGTAGTCCTGGAGGACGGGGCAAGGCCACGCTGCTCTGCCGTAGGAACCCCAGGCTTCATGGCTGGGTGGGGGGCTGGCCAGCAACCAGTGCCTTCAAATTATTCTTGTCAAAACTCCAGTGCCAGGAGGTTGCAGGCGTCCTCCTGGTAATAAACACTACCTGTCCCCACTGTTTGGTGTCCAGAGCCTGGCCACTGAGTCCTCACTTGAGCCCTGAGCACCGAGCGTCGAGCACCGAGCAGTGGTGAAGCAGGCCGCTGCAACTCCCGTTCTACCAAGGGAGAGACAGGCCTAGCAGACAGCAGGCAGCCCAGCCCGCTATCGTGGCACCCTAGGGTATTAGTAGTCTTCTCTTTCATGTTTTGGGTTCCATTCCCTAATACACAGCATGTGGCATCTCATTTAGTCACTCCAGTGGGAAACCCTAGTTAGCTTGTTTTTTTTTTTTCAAATGGGGAAACAGCAGGTGGCAGCTCAAGTCACAGCAGGGCTTTGAACGCAGCTTGGTTATCAAGCTGGTGTCACTTCCCTTCATTGTGCCATGATTGCATGCGGGGACACTTGCTCCTCTCTGTGAGTAAGTTCTATAAAGGCTCCTTGAATTAGCAAATACTGGATTCTTGGGGAAGATTCAGTAAAGCTTATGCAAACCTGACCACATTCTTGTCAAGTGATCAGTGCATAAGCTATTTCCGTGTGTGTTTCTGTTTTGGGCCCTCCCTGGTGTCACAGCACTATGAAGCTGTCCACCACCTCTGCAAAGCTGAGTTTGATCCACACCCAGGGAGGTGACCCACATGGTGCAGCAGACCTCCTCTGACCTGACCGCTGCTCCCCTTAGCAATGTATTACAGTACATCTGCCTGTTCTGCTCCCCACTGTCTCTGGTGAATCCTCTCACCCCCTGCATCTGTGACCCTGGTTCTTGTATATATCAATATATATCAATAGATAAATCTTTTTTTTTTTTAAGATTTATTTATTTGTACATACAGAACTGGGGTACAGGCCAGAGGCTCAGGGGCAGTGAGAGGCTTCACCAGAGACAGAGTGGGGAGCAGAACAGGCAGATCAATGAAGTACACTGCTGAGGGGAGCAGCGGGCGGGTCAGGAGAGGTCTGTGTGCCATGTGGTCACCTCCGGGGCAGGCGGGGATCGAACTCATGTGGAAGTGACTTTAGATTCTCCGTGCTCTGCTTTAACCCGCTGAGCCACCAGGGAGGACCCCAATAGATAACTCTTTTAAAAAAACAAAGACACCTGGTTTAATATATAAATACATATACATTGATTTGTTCACTTTGGACTCACGGCCAGTACTGATCTTAACTCGTGCTGAACAAAGCTTAAATATTTTCTCCCAGTGGTGCATTCCAACCTTCTCTTGTTTGGGGACACCAGAGGGCACTTCAGCACCACGTTTGGGGTCTTTTTATTTATTTACTATATTTATTTACTTATGCATACAAGAATTATATAAGCCAGAGGTGCGGGGGGTGAAAGGATTCACCAGAGACAGAGTAGAAAGCAGAGTAGACAGATCGACAAAGTACACTGCTGAGGGGAGCAGGGGTGAGGAGAGGCCTGCTGCGCCATGTGGGTCACCTCCCTGGCTGGGATTCAAACTCATGCTGCAGTGGCTGGTGATGGCTTGATAGCACTGAAATTTTAACCTTTGATCCCCTGGGGATCTTTTTAAACAGCAAAAACACCAAGGAAAAGCACCGAAATGTGAAAAATCTGATACTAAATGGCCTGCCTAAAGAATGCTTGTTTAAGAGAGGTGGAACAGGAAAGCAGAGCCACAATGGCAACGTGCACATTGGGGGCTCAGGTTTCCTTCTCCTCTGCAAGTCCCTCAAGGGTACCACAAATGTTGACTTAGGAGTTAGAAATAAATTTTAGCCTGTAGGAGAATTTGCAAATCTGTCATTTGTGAATAACGAGGGTCAGTTGCTTTGCGAAGCTAACCTCCAACGCCATGCTCTTCCTTCCACAAGGGAGCTTGTCTCTCTCTCAGCCCCCGAAGCATCAGGCTGGGGCAGGTCTGTGTTTGGAGGGCTTCCCCACACTTGGGCTGAGAGAGACTACAGCCTGTTCCTTGCCCGGAAGGCAGGCTGGTAGTGGGTGCTAACTCCGCCCTACGGGGTGGGGCCATCTGTGATGGTGCAGACAGGACTTGCACTGGCCCAGAAGTGCTTTGTCAGCTCCGCTTACAACTCATTGTCCAGAACAGGTCCCATGGGGCCATTGAAGGGGTGTGGGGTGTGCCACCCACCTAAGGGCCCCGAGGGGAGGGATCTGCCCTGGGGCTCTGCGACATACAGGCATAGCTCTGCCCTGGAAACCTGTGGGTGGAAGATAGCTGCCCTTGAGGGGGTGTGTGTGGTGGGTGGGTGGGGGAAAACCATGCAACCTGCCCCTTCCTGCCCCCGCTTCAGCTGCCTTGGAAAAAAGAAGCCTCTAGTGCTATGATGGATCTCCCCCGCTGGCCACAACAGCACCTGCCAGGTTCTACCCAGGCTGCTCTGGCGCCGGCCAGGAAATCTAAGCCAGCCGGAAAGTAAAGAGCATTTGTTCTCTGGTGGCCTACTCAGCCACCTTGAAACCAATCCTGGATCAATTTCTAGGGCATCTGCATGTGGGGGACCAGGGACCCCCATGTGACCCATATTGTTATCAGGTTTGATTGGACCAGCCATCATTGCTAGACCACTGGCCCTGCAAAATCCAACCCTCTGAGCCAAGCCGGGCATGGGGGTGGCCTCCCTAAGGGACCAGGTCCACTGCCCACATCAGTCCTAACAGCTTGGGGCTTAGCTTTTATCAGTTGCTATCAGCTTGAGTTAAGAAGGGAGCCTTTGTAACCTGGAGCCTCAGCCTGCCTTTTGCTCACTCCCGGCGCAGAGAGGATGGCACTGCAAGGGCCTGGGTACTGAGGGTGGCATTTCTCGCTCCATTGCTCACCGCTGGGTAGTTCTGAGGGAGGATGCATGTGGGGGATGAGGCTTTAGACTGTTCTACTGACTTGGAAAAATACTTCCCAGCTCTGAAAGGTTTCCCATCTGGTTGGTTTTGTAGGGGCAGGCGGGGTGGGGTGCCTTTGCTAGAGGCTAGCACCACACTTCCTCTATTCCAGTGCAATAGAAACCAGCTGTGGGCCCTACTGCTATCTCCACCACCAGATTGATATGCCTACCTGTATATCAATCTCGAGCATCCCTCTGAACCCCCCTTACACCAGCCCCTCTTTCCCCAACTCCCACCAGCTACCGGTTTTTACCACATTATTCATTCTGCTAGTTCTTGATATAAATGCATTACCCCAATGAAACCCTTCTGAGTCTGGATAATTCTTTTTTTTAAAAAAGATTTATTTATGCGTACAGAACTGGGGTACAAGCCAGAGGTGCAGGGGCGGTGAGAGGATTCACCAGAGACAGAGTGGGGGACAGAATAGGCAGGTAGACGAAGTACTCTGCTGAGGGGAGCAGCAGGTGGGTCAGGAGAGGTCAGCTGTGCTGTGTGGGTCACCTCGAGGGCTGGGAATCGAACTTGCACTGAAGCAGCGGCACTAGCTTGCAGTGCTGTGTCCTAACTTGTTGTGCTACCAGGAAGGTCCCCAAGACTGAGGGTATTTGTTTTTTTTAGAGATTTATTTATGCATACAAGAACTAAGGTATAGGCATTGGTGTGGGGCCCGGTGTGAGAGGATTCACCAGAGACAGAATGGGAAACAGAACAGGTGGATTTACTGAAATACACTGCTGAGGGGAGCAGCGGGCAGAATAGATGACTGCGCTGTGTGGGTCACCTCCTTAGCTGGGGGTGGAACATGTGGTTCAGTGGCTGTAGGTAGCTTCGTAGTGTTGTGCTTTAACCCTTTGTGCCATCGGCGGGGGCGGGGGGGGGCTTTTTAAAGATTCATTTTATTTATGCATACAAGAACTAGGATACAGGCAAGAAGTGGTGGGGGGGGGGTGAAGAGGATTCACCAAAGACAGAGTGGAGAGCAGAGCAAGATGATCCACTTAAATACACTGCTGAGGGGAGCAGGGGGCGAGACAGCAGGGGTCTGCCGCGCCATGTGGGCCACCTCCCTGGCCAGGGATCTAACTCCTGCTGCAGTGGCTGTGATAGGTTCATAGTGCTGTGCTTTAACCCCTTGCGCCAGTAGGGAGGGCCCTGAGTCTAGGTAATTCTGTTCAATATAATGTCTGTGGCTTTTATTTTGAGTGTTGTCTGTATCAGTATAGCCAAGTATCATTCAACAATGCATATATGGTCTGCGAAACATTATTAGATGATTCCATTATTGTGTGAACATCATTGAATGTAATTGCACAAATTTAGATAGTACAGCCCACTACACATCTAGGCTAGATGTACAGCCTAGTGGAACCACCTCTGTCTATACAGTCCATCATTGATTGGAACATTATTAAGCAGTATGTAAAATTTCTTCTTTTACATTGCTGCATTGTATTCCATTGGGTGGAAGTGCCACTGTTTGTTCATTCACTGATCCCTTGTTTGTTCCTAATTCTTGGCCACTGAGAGAAACTGGCCTCAGCATTCTTAAATGTCAATTGATGAATATACAGTTCCTGTTGGCTAAGACTCCCAGAAGAAATTTGAGGTGGTAGGGGAGGTCTAGGTCTAATTTAAGGGATATGTCAATCAGATTTATAAAGCAGCTATACCAATTTACCCTCCTGTGCACAGCAAACAAGAGTTTCTGTGACTTCATACCATCACCTACACTCAGTATCATCAGTTTTGCTAATTTGGGCATTTGTCTCACAAGAGTTTGAACTTCTTAACTATTGTAAAATGAATTTTGAGGAAGACTCTTATCTTATTCCTGAAATTTAATGTCACTGGACTTGTTTATTATTTCATTATTTATTTATTTTTAAAGATTTATTTATTTATGCATTCAAGAACGAGGGTACAGGCCAGAGGTGCAGGGTGTGAGAGGATTCACCAGAGAAAGAGTGGGGAGCACAACAGACAGATTGATTGAAATACACTGCTGAGGGGAGCAGCAGTGGGGACAGGAGAGGTCTGCCGCACCATGTGGGTCGCCTCCCTGGCTGGGTATCAAACTCGTGGCAGTAGCTGTGGATAGCTTCATAGTGCTGAGACTTAACCCCTTGCACCACCAGGGAGGCCTGTTATTGGACTTTTTTTTTTTTAAAGATTTATTTATTTATTCATACAGAACTGGGGTACAGGCCAGAGATGCGGATTGACCAGGAACAGAATGGGGAGCAGAACAGGCAGATCGACGAAGCACACTGCTGAGGGGAGCAGCGGGTGGGTCAGGAGAGGTCTGCCACGCTATGTGGATCTCCTCGGGGCAGGCAGGGATCGAACTCATGAGGAATTGGCTTAAGCTTCTTAGTGCAGTGCTTTAACCGGCTGCGCCACCAGGGAGGGCCTGTTACTGGACTTTTAACTTTAAAAAAGTAATATTGTTTCCCAGATAGACACAGCCTTCCCCAAGGGCACTGAGAAGATAATTTTTTCTTTTTTTTTCTCTCCAGTCAAGTAATTTTAACTAAAGTCAATGAATTGTAACAAGTGTAATCTATAATCAGTCCTAGTTAGCCCAATTCTTCCCCCCATGTATTTCACTCAAACCTCCCTTAAACAAAGATCCCAGTGGAACACAATCTGGGCTGATCCCTGAGTTTGTGTTTCCCAGAATAAAACATCCTTATTTAATTTTAAACTTGTGTTTGTCTGCTTAACACTCTCTGTGCTTTTACCAGCTTAGAATCTGAATTGGAAACAGTTGAT